CGTTGGATCAAGGCATGCGGGCGCCCACACGACCAGCTGAACGTCCAGCGGATAAATAAACATAAAACAGTTTGTTCAAAGGTACAGTCCCTGAAACGTTCTACTTTCCCACTTGAACGGTGAGCGAACGCTGAACGAACGGTGAACGAACGCAGAGCGAACGGTGAGTGAACGATGTGTGAACGCTGAACGCAACTTGGTGAACGATGTGTGAACGCTGAACGGTGAGCGAACGCAGAACGCGAACGGAGCGCAAACGCGAACGCAAAGTGAACGGTGAACGAACGGTGAACGCAAGATGAACGATTTATTCGGAATGCCTCTGATCTTTTCCTTGCATTGAAACTATTCTAGTGTATGTATACCTGGTGCTAAAAAAATAAATGAATAATAAATAAATAAACAAATCAATGAAAAGTGTCCTAAGAAAGACGATACATGCACAATAAGTAAAATTATTAATTTAAATTTCTTACAATATTTTATGCACATATGTACGATGTTTAAATTAAACTTTTTAATAAGACGATTTTTATCGCCGTAAAACATTGTAATTGTTACCGAACGCTGTAGTATTAAAGATAAAATCAATCTTGTTGTAAAATAAATATGTTTATTCCTATTTGATATATAAAATCATTACAAATAATATGGATTTTTAGAAGAGCAAACTACGGACTTATAGAATGAATTACAACGGTTGTAACAACCATACATACATTTCCGTGCCAAGACGATTCTGTGTAAAATAATGAGAAAAAAATTAAAATATTTTACAAAGGTATGTGGACGTATTGCATAAATACACCCGTATTTTAAAACTTTTATGCAATAATATACATGTATTAATGAGTCAGTTTTATTTTTTCTTATGATGATTTATTGAGCATGTTTTACATATTCTACATGTATCTGTAGACATTTCCCGGCCGTGATTATACTCGGATAAGATGATACAAAGAGGCATTCATATTATTTGTTATATATTAAATTTTCACAACTTGATATTTAAGTAATATGCTGTCATAGTTTTTATAAAACAGACAAATAAGAGAGAGAGAAAGATATTCGGTTTTAGCCCCCCCCCTTCTCAAATGTTTGTACCTACATGTATATCAAATAAAAATTCTTAATTTTTTTTTCCTAAATATACCAGGCAATGAAACAAACAAATCCATTTGTTTTACAGTCGTAATCGGTTTTTATTTTCCTGCTTCAAGATCACACGAAGTCCACGTGCTTGACCTGTCAATCAAAATCATTCGACACTGTACAGGTGTGAAAGTCTCGTCACACCGAAGGCAAAGTGTTCAGTATTTCTAAGAAGTTTTAACATTTTTTCTTATCATTTCTAGATCTGATTCCAACATTTCTGAAAAAAAAAATAAATGAATAAAATACATTGGGAATAAACACTTGGAATGATTAAGCCGCTTGAATTTGAAACCTACTCCCTGCCAATTTAACATATCACCACCGGCACATGTATATTTGAACTACTACTGTTTAATGACTTTGTTTAGATGCATGTTTGTTTTGAGACTGAAGTTTATGTGCTACAAAATACGTTAACGTCTATTTAAATGTTAATTAAAATATACCGAAAATACTAACTAAGTAACCGATTTACGGGAAGGGGGGGGGGGGGGGCTCTTAATTATATCGAATGGCAAACATATAAATAACATTACTGGAGAATCACTTTCGTTATATTAACGATAATCATGTTATAAAGGCATTTCTCTCTCTCTAATTAAAGACTTTATATATGTAAAGTAGAAAAAAATTCTATAATGTATTACATTTTTAAAAAATATTTTTTTTTCAAACCACACTATCAATTTAATTCGCTCTAAAGATATTTAATCAACTGGATATCCGCAGTACTGTTTATAATCCTCAGAATTAGTTCTAACATGTATTTCTGTATTATTTGAAAAAAAAAAATGTGTTAGAAATAAATATTTTCGTATTTCTGCTGAAGTTGGTAAATTAATTGACTTCGGTTATTATCTATCAATTAATGATTTGTCGTCTTTAACATAACAAAATGTTGCAGTGCTTGAAGCATCTGCATATTGCCCGTATTTAAATTTCATTTTTCAGCATCGTTCTACATAGGTACATACATGTACTTATAACAACATTTATTTTCCAGATAAATTTAATAAATAACCTAACAGCTAAGTTAGAATAATAAAAACAAATATTGTAGATAATTTTTTCTTTAAACACGATATGTTAAGTATTAAATTTGTAAATCCTTACTTAAACAAGTAATAGCTTTTCAAAAAGCTTGCCTGACTATTCAATCAATATCTATGGAACGTATAAGCAATAGAGGTGCTAAACGTTTCCGTCATCAAGGAACGACATAGTTGCGATACGTCATTACACAAGATGTACAGTTGACTTTCTCAAATCTCATAACCAAATACTACAGATTAACGAATATCTATGCCACTATTCAATCATTTGTTAGTTAGCCCACGGGCTGACAAGCTACGTTGGAATGAAACTCAAAGTGCGATAGCGTAGATTATTATACTTCTGTTAAATTGTTTCCTATATAAAGTTAAGAAGGTAAAATAACTATCTTTTATAGTCTGAAAATTTCCACGCATAACAAAGCTATACCCCGGGGTAAAGTTTTTGCTACCCACCCCTCGGAAAATTTTCATGCAATTTTTGCCGCCAATTTTGATTTCCTGTAAACAATCTTATGTCATCCTGACTTCAGTAGCATTGTGGTGTCATCAGGATTTCAGCTCATTCTAGCACTGTTATCTTATTCCAAACATTTGTTCAAAACTTTTATAATTAATTTTTTCATGTTTTGCCTATGAAACTGTAGTATCAGGTAATTCAACCCTCAGAAATTATGATATACATCAGTATAATAAAACGTCTATCCACTGGTGTTGAGTGGGATAGCTCTTTCATCAAACCCTTGACAGAAACTATTCCCCTCGGGCAAGCCCTCGGGGAATAGTTCCTGTCGCGGGTTTGATAAAAGAGCTATCCCACTCAACACCAGTGGATAAGTGTATATTATAATTTTGGGGAAAATAGTTATATAGATGATTCCAAAGAAATTCATATTACATGTACTCTCTTACTAGAGGGCGCGCTTGTCTGGTCAGTGATAGATTGATGAGACGGCCTCTTTTTATAGACTGGTCTGTTTTCCGTCGTTCTCGACGTCGAAGTAAATTATGAACAGTTTTAACTGCCTTTTCTTGAAGTGTTTGAGACAAAAATGTTTCAATGCTGCTCTAGAACTCAAAGTAAATGGACTGTACACTTTATAGCAAGAGGAAAACAAGATACCAATAACACCCCCCCCCCCCCCCGGACGAAACTCACCCGCTGATGGTCTTACCATATACATGTACATGTATTATAAATGAGTTTAAAAATACATCATTATGTGCATTTTTAAAATTGTTAGTTTTTCTTTTCAATCGATTTCAGGACCTTTCTCATAATTATAATAACGTGCTTTTATATGAAATGAAAACTAGTACAGTTCATGATGTCTTCTTCATTTTTCCGATTCTTTGCTAAGAACCTTACGGGAGTTAAGCCCATTCCTCTATGGGTACTGACCTACTCTTGTCACTATCCTTGTTCATCACAAAGCATGAAATAATATGCTACTGGCTGACTTTCTAAGCTTTTTTAAAAACCTAACCTTGTAACGTACATTATTAATAAATGTAATATTGAAAGAAAAGGTGGGAAACAGACTAAATCAAGAAGGGATGTCCCATTTACTAGTTCGAGGGAGTTTGTTTATGATTGGACTAGTTCACTTATGGAATAAATAGTAAGAATAATCAGCAAATCCATTGCTTTAGTGTTGCCTGCCCATATACAATGTGTTCTTTTAAAAATGATATAAAATTTACTGTTAATAAAAAGCTTAAGAATAGGGTTAAAAGATTGAACGTTATTTATTTCCATAGACGTTATCACACCCATTCAACAGAACAATCCAAGAAAAAGGCGCGAAGATAATTTACATGTGACATTTGGCGCGAAATGATTGTGTCACCCCTTTCGTAGAAGGCAAATGGACTGATCCAGTAGTTTAGAAACGCAGAAAAAATGTTACACGGACATGCCCGTACAAAGAATCGCAAAGAATAAACATGTGCATGCAAAAAAACTGAAGGAATTAAACACAACATTATTTTGCATCAGTAATATGATTCTTTCTTCTGCAAACTGTATTTGTTTAAATGCAGGTAACAAATTCCAGTGTAAATCAGCTTCCAGAAAATCTAGTTCATTAAGAATGATCGCTTAGTTTCGAATCTTGAAAAAATTAATCCTTATACTGCCTGACGCACGTGGCGTCAGGCAATAAAGATAAGTCCATTCACTTCGGAGTTCCGAATGACAGTAAAGACTGAACGATAAGTGAACGCTGAACGCAAGGTGAACGCAAAGTGAACGAACGAAGAGCGAACGCTGAACGCTTTGTGAACGGTGAACGCGAGCGCACGGTGAACGGTGAACGCAAAACTGTGAACGGAGAGCGAACGGTGAACGCACGGTGAACGAACGGTGAACGAACGATGAGCGAACGGAAAAATGGGAAAGTAGAACGTTTCAGGGACTGTATGACTGTTGATATTTTCATGTTCAAAGGGTAATAAGTATTAAATTTTATTTAAAAAACATGCAAGAACGAGGTAAATCGCTATTCATGATGTACAAGATTATGCTACATTTTCGTGCAAATTCGGGTGGCATTAAAGTGAGGATAGCTTTAGGCTTCTTTTATGTTGAAAGAGAGAAAAAAAGGGAATGATTTTATTTATAAAGATAACTGTGTACAGAATATGATTCAGACTAGGACTGATCGTGCGTTTTGTATTTCTTTGACTACGAAAAATCTTTTAAAAAATTGTCATGCATTTAATATACCAGTACGGTAGCAGAAAATTTCGGACAAAATATTAAGTTTAATTATTTTCTTAAAATCATTTACAGCATTTCGTTGGAGGTAATGGACCAACTGTGCAGTTTCCAGATCCAATACCAGCTGATGGCTCAGTTCTTCGGCCAACAAGACCACCTCTCAAACGGACTTATTCTGAAAATCACACAGTGTCATCAAAAAAGAGAATTGTAAGGTAGAATCCCACATGTAAACTGTATGCACACAGATCATTGAAAGTTCATTTTTTTAATGAACTAGTATGGTTAAAAAAATGCTTTGTTTATTACAGTACCGTGGATGGAGAAGGCAGTGTGGATTCAATTTCAATGGAGAATGAAGTCCCAATCAAAATTAACAACAGTAGCAACATTGCTGTACAAACAGAAGAACCTTGTAAGCAAAATGTTTCTCTATTTAATTCAGTATTGTACATTTTGATTTGCAAGAAATGGTTTTGCATAGGTTTTGAAGAAAACACATAATTTTTGAAGCATAGTGGCCATGAATGGCAGGTCAGGCTGTATTCTTTCTACAAAAATATCCTTTTGTGTGAAAACAATAAAATCACAAAATGTACAACCTGTGATCAGGAGTTGACCCTGAACTTGTGCATAATATGCATGAGTGTTTTTCAGTGTATTTATGTCATTGTTAGCAGACAAAAAAAATCTCTAATATTGTCACATGCTTCTGTGATTGTCATGTTCCTAGCAGAGTAAGGACACTTAATTTCCAAAAGGCCACATTGGCCATTGTCACAAACCTTACCATCTGGACTTGCCCCTAAGAAAGCAAACTCCTTATTTATAACAAGGCCGCATGAATGAATATGTCTAGACGGGTAGTCTTTTAAGTATCTGGACTTCGCATCTTTTTCGTGAATTTTACCATAATCCAAAGAGGGGGCTGTAATCTTTTTTAAACTAAACAAGCTTTTTAAAAATTTATCATTAGGTGTTGATTTTCTTTGTAAGATTTTGCCAAAATTAGAAGCAGTTAGTCGCTTTTTTCGTTCATTATACCACAGTGCAGACTCGCTATGTTCGCGAGTATTGATTTCAATTTCAATAGGTTCACATTCTTTGTAATCTTCATTTAAATCTGTAAACTGCAGTGGCAAAGAAACAGGGGCTTGGTGAAACACATCTGTATTGCCACAACCATTTGACATTGCTGGCTCAACTTCCTTAATATTTTTTGTCTGAAAAATATTTCACAGTATCAGCAATTGAAGTACAAATATATTAATTTCTTTTCTAGGGGTTTCTGGGATTGATATGTTTGCAATGGCTGCTGAACTACACATGTTAAGAGAAAAAGAGAAGCAGTATAAAGACACCATCTGCAAACTGGAAACAGAAATAAAAGAGCTTAAAGATCAACAGAAATCTGAAAATCAGAAGCTAACATTTGGAGTTGATGAAGTATTAAGAAGAGAGGGAAAGTTGAAAAATATATTTAAATATTACACTGGTATTGTGTACATTAGATTTGCTAGTCTTCTGGCATTTTTGGTATCTGATGGATCCTCGATAAATTATGAAAGGGTCGCAAAGACATTAGGAAATTGTCACTGCAAGATGGACTGTTTTCAACTTTATGTAGACTAAGACATAACTTTGGTCTTAAAGATATATCAGTAAGGTTTAGACTTTCACTACAGTCATCAGGAATTGTATTCAATACTTGGATTTCACTTATGTACTTAAAGTTAGGGCAACTTTGTATTTGGCCACATCGTGATATTATTATTAATAACATGCCAAAAGATTTTAAACATGATTACCCCACAACTTTAATAATAATTGATGGGACTGAATTTAGAACACAAGCACCATGTGCACTTGGTTTGCAAAGTCAGCTTTATTTTGATTATAAGTCTAGTACTACTTTAAAGGCATTAATTGGTTGTGATCCAAATGGTTCAGTGATTTTTGCATCCGAATTGTTTACAAGATGTATTTCAGATAAACAAATATGTGAACAGTCTGGGTTTTATGATGTTCTTGAAACACTAAAGTTGAAGGGTTATGTTAAAGATGGTGATGCTATTGGACTTTTGCGAGAAGCGCTGACTTTTATAATTGACGACTTACTTTTACACCAGGAAAATATACGGAAACTCTTTTGTGATATAAATATTTAGCTTAACAGTTAATAAAACGATAATAATGGACCGATCAAAAACCTATATTACGTTGTCAAGAAAGGAAACGGCAAAACAATCCTACCCTCAACCCTCCCCTTCCACCTTGACTAACTCCTGCCTAATCATTTCTTCCGGAATGTTTTTCTTCTTTATTTACATGTAATTCCTTTTAGAAAATGAAAATAAAATGAGATACTACAAGTATCTCTCATGAATAGGGTATTTTAAGTTATTTTATTCTACCTCCAATCATCTTTTGTGTTGGTAAATAATGTTAGTGTCCCTAATTCCATAGATATAACCACTATTAAGGTTTTCTTATCTATTATCAATTCCGTATCTCCGTACATGACGCAGGTTTAAATGTCCAAGTAAGCCGTCAACTGTAAAAGTCAGTGCTTCTCGCAAAAGTCCACTATGGCTGATAAAGGTTTTACTATTAAGGAAGAATTATGTAAACTTAATTTGCTGCTGAATATTCCACCAATGGCTTCATCAACATCTCAGATGTCAGTTTCAGATACCATCCTTACTGAAAAATTTCAAAGCATCGTGTGCACATTGAAAGACTTATTGCTAAAGTTAAAACCTACAAGATACTGTCTGTGCGCATTCCAACATCATTATTTAAAAATATTAACAAAATTTGGTCTGTATGTTGTCACTTGACATTATTCCATGATGTGTTTGTAACAGACAATAAACATAGTAAATGGTCTACTTTATTCATGCTAGTTGTGATCCATGTCATTGATTTTTGCATTTAGCATTGTTCAGTGGATAATTTATATATACACTTACTGTATTTTTAAACTATAGGCAGTTCCCCAACTGTATTTATATTTTTAAAATAAATATTTATTGTGGTAATTGTGAACATGTACCTGATATGACAATATTGAGCCTATCTGCACATCACCAAGGGGAGTGTTTACTAATGGATGCTCTGCTGATACTGTGTATTCCAGAGGGGTTCCTTTTAATGAACTCAGCTGCATTATGTCATTTTTGGACACTTTGGGTGGACTGATATTAAAATATGATGTATGAATTAAGATTTTGTCAAGTGGATAATTTTAATCTTATTATTAAGACTGTTATAAAATCTGATCTCATATTTATAGCCAATTAATTGTAGCCATGAAGAATATTGTATTATTAAAAATGCAATGGTTATATTTCTAAAAGAGGAAAGTCTTTGTCTTTTTCACATACTCTTGATTTAAGTCTAACTGGCATGTCGCAGGTTTCCTTTTTCTTGATTCAGTTGGTCTTGCTACCACCACATGATTTATAGGGACAGGCTTGATCTTTGACCAGGTACATTTGAAAAATTATGGAGTTTGAACCCTTGCAGACTTTTTATTAGCCCAAGTACATGGGAACAGTGGACATTTAAGCTGTAAGGAAAATTGACCAGCATTATTTCTAATGTACATGTATGCATACCTGAGGATTTTTAAATTATTTAGACCTAGGCCTATCCAAAAAAATAAATAAATAAATAAATAAAATAAAAAAATAAATTGCCAACTTGAAAGGAATTTGGCCTAGTAAATAGAGAAGTTGGCCAATAATATTTATGTGTATTTTGTCTGAATTTATTCATTAGGCCCTATATATACTTTTAAAAAAAAAATCCTGAGCCAAATTAATTAGGTCACAAATGTTTACATTCTAGGTGCCTAGGCCTAACCTACATAAACCCTGATTTATCAAGATTTTCTTGAAAAATACGCAAAGATTTGGGTGATTTATACACATACCCAATTTTACAGGAGCAATGAGACTCGGTTATCGAACTATTCTTTATTTCCAAACTAAGTTGGTGCGGCGATTGATTTTTTCGCATGGATCTCCAGCATCGTGCTGCAACTTGTACGGAGTTATCCAAACTGAAAATCTTAATATTATGGATGTATCCTTGGGTAAAGTAATTCAAACCCTTTTATAAAACTTTTTCAGATAATTTTGAACTATTGGGTAGGTATTTCACACAGAAATCGTCCGGAATCGACTTTAAACTGTCGGTCGCCACCGAGGATGATGAAGCCGGTGTCGCCATCATGTGGGACTTGGTTACAGTAACTAAGGTGGGCGGGGCTTCGGGAGAAAAGTCGGAACTATGAATTGTTTGAATGGTTGACTCAAATTGATCTCAATATAAATGTTGGTACAAGCATTTTTGATAAAGGATTTTGAATATCTCGAAAATGCAAGTAATATTTCTTTTTGATATAAAAAAAATCACATTTCAGAAATGTAAATTATTCACTAAGAGAATGGTAGCGCAAACGTATTTTTACTTACGATATAGTACTAAAAAAATGATACTTTGATATACTGTAGCTAAAAAAGCTTAAACCTCCAATCATAATGTAAAAAATGTAAATAAAAATATTAGTTTAAAAAAAAAAATAGTGAAAAAATATCCAATGCAGAAACATTGAACAGAAAGGCATGTTACTGACGTCAACGTTTTAGGTGACTGATGACGTCATTGAAAAATTGGATTGTTTATATGATAACGAAGATGAACGTATCAGCAGGTTATATATTATGAAATCTTAAAAATGCACAATGACTTTTAGTTTTTCTCTTTCTTATATATTTTATTAAATGGAATTCACATAGTCTATGTATTTCGTATTCTTCATTAATTATTTTATAATACAACGAACACATAAATAAAGCATTTATTGTATGTTGGCAGGTACAGGTATGTGTTTTGATAAAATGAGATAATCAAGCACATTCAGTTTTCATACAGGTAGGGTAATGCTTGATCTGGGGACACTGCTGTCACCATGAGCCATACGCAGAATTCTGAAGGGGAAAAAAAAATGAGAATATTAAACTTAACGAGTGAATTTATAGAGTCTTATCTATGAACAATTTAATGACACGACAAGATTCAAATTACATTCATAAGTAACTAAAAATAATGATAAGTTAAAAAAAAAAATAATAACAACTGAAACTATTTTTTCTTTTACATTCAGTATCTTTTGGAAACAAGTTGTAGCCATATAATAAATACCTGAGATGTTTAAACCAAAAGCACAATTGCTAAAATTCAAAGGAAGATTTATAGTGTTTGACACAGGTGGCTTAAAAAAGTCTTAAAACAATGTGCTAAATATTAATGGAGCAAGCCGCAGTTGTCTATAAATCTAAATATAGTTAATACCTAATGGTAAGGTTTCGACTAATTTTTAAAGAATTCGAACATGAAATATTTTTTTTCCCTGCAAAAGTTTAACAAAGGACATTGCTTTACAGATGTTCTGATCTTGACATCTCTCTGTACCACCGCTTATTTTTTAAGAGTTATTTTTTTTTACTTTAACTTCGAACATTGAATGATGATAAATGGTATTGATGTCTCCTTTCCTGTTTCACAGGTCATTCTGATATTACTTTTTGCCTTCCATAAGTACCCAACAAACACCATGACCTACGAATCAATACCCGTAATGGCTTACAGAACAATACATATCTCCTACAATATTTGATATCAAATTTAAAAGTAAATGATAGACTTTAATTGTGATTATTTAGTCTATCCATAGTATAATTCAAGACATCAAGGGATGAGTTTTCAAATATTGTAATTGCTCTTGTAAAAGGAAGTGATCAATATAAGACACTTTGTTTTAAAGTATGAAATATAAAGGCTTAATAACACAAAATGGATAACTTGAATTAAAAGCTTTGGTTATAATATAATGTCAAAGGACAAAGATACGCGCATTTGACATTTTTCGAAGATACAATAGATAGTTAGCATATCCCTACATTGTGTACAGGAATTCCTAGAGGCTGAAGGAAAAAATGCATTACCTTGTTTACGGTGTTTGTGTTCTTCATCTTTCTACATTGCTTGTAGGAAAAGCTTGTCTATGCTCAGGAGTTAAGCAACTTATTCTAAAACGAGGCTCCTTGTACGATGGCTCATCTACGATAGACACACAGTACTATCTGTCAACAAAAGAGGAAATCACTTATCTGTTGTGTGTTTCTTTTTGTTTAATGCATTCACCTGAATGTGTGAGCATTTTGTTTGACGAAAGCCTGCGTTCATGTCGGCTTCTTAAGGTCCACCTAAACATAAGCATAATAGACGGTCAAAACAACAGCACATTGACAAATGCTTCAGAATACTGGGCTAATTATCAAGGTATTTAGTCTTGTATTTGTATGAAAAAAAAATAATTCTTCGTTATTATCAACAATTATTTTAATTAATCAATATTCATCCTTATTTGCATCAATATTTAAAAATCAATCACTATTCATTATTATTATCATCAATATTTATCAATCAATCTATATCCATTAATCAATCGACATTCATCTTTTTTTTTTCTTTAAAATTGTTTCCTATATAAAGCTATACTTAAAAAGTCTAATTCGAGCCATCTCTCACCCCCCAAAAAATCGCTCTTAGATCGCTGAGTG